ACATTAGGGGTGTGTGGCCTAACATGCAAAGGAGTTCCTGCTACAAAAAGCCCTGGGTTTTGACAACAAACAAGGTAAACAGAGTAACAAGCAAAAGGTGGGTTTGGCTGGATAACCACACTTCTGGTAACATGGAGCACTAATGAGCTGTGCACTAATGCACTAATGCACTAATGCACTAATGCACTAATGCACCTAATATACTAATGAGCTGTGCTGTCAGGGGTGTGGCCTAATATGCTAATGAGTTTCTGCTGTTGGGTGTGGCCTATTATGCTAATGAGTTCCTGCTGGGCTTTTTCTACAAAAAAAAGCCCTGGAGACCTCCACACCCCACTTGGAGGCTGGCCACCCCAGGGCATCAGCAAGGAGAGGCTTGGGCCTTGAGGAGTGAATGGTTTGCCTCTTTGTTAAAGGGTCTCCGGCAGTGTTTCCTCTAAGCTGAGTTAGTGGGAGCTAGCTCACAATTTTTTAGCCTCCAGCTCACACACTTTTGCCTTGGCTCAGGAAGGAGGGCTCCAGACCTAACTGATTTATGTAGTAGCCAAATCACTGGCCCACAACTTTAAAGCCAGTAACTCACAAAGCAGAATTTTTGCTCACAAGACTCTACAGCTTAGAGGGAACATTGGCTCCGGGACCACTTGTTGGACACAGCAGGGCTACTCTTACTTCCAGACGATCTGATGATTATGTGTGACTTGTGGTTTTACTCAAAGCAGTATTTCATTAAAAACAAAACAAGTGTAAAATCCATCAGCATGTTCCATAGATGGGGCTCTCTTGCTGTTTGTGTGCCTTGCCTCTTTAAAACCCATTTTAAATCCTCTCGCAAACAGGTTATTTCAAAACAATAGATGAAACGAGCTCCCAAGACTTCCGCAACCTCATGGAAATCAACACTGTGAGCTGTTTCTTAGCAGCCAAGGTGAGTGTTTCTAACTTCTAAGGAGTTTCCCCTCTTCTCCGAGTACAGCTGGTTTCATCTGGAGTTGAAAGTCCAATTAAAAAAAACCTGGAACAGTACTCAGAAGTATAGTGCTATATCAAGGTCTGAATCGGAACTACAGGGACAGGAACTAAGCTCCACAGCTGAGGACCATTTTCCCATCCAAAGTGTTCATCCCTGCCCTCTCTAGTTGCAAAGATTTCTGCTAGCTGTGCTAAGTAGGGACTCTGTCAGTGGACAATTCTAAGCTACGCCAGCTTCATAAGTTTTCTCTTTTGAGATATGGCAGACTGTTTCTGTTTCTCTTTTGTGTACAGTATGCGCTGCCCTACTTACGGGAAACGAAAGGAAACATCATCAACATGGCCAGTATTACTGGTGTCATTGGGAAGAAGGGTGATGTGGCGTATAACTCAAGCAAGGTAATCCTGACCCAAAGACAGAATCCCTTTTTGTTTTAATGCTTCTGCTCTTGAGCCAGTTTGGTGTAGTGGTTAAGGGTGCATGCAGCTGCTGGATGACCTTGGGCAAGCCATAGTTCTGTTAGAGCTGTTCTCTCAAAGATAGTTCTGGAAAGAGCTCTCTCAGCCCCACCTACCTCACAGGGTGTCTGTTGTGGGGAGGGGAAGAGAAGAGAAGAGATTGGATTTGTACCCCACCCTTCACTACCCAAAGGTGTCTCAGAGCGGCTTACAAACTCCTTTCCCTTCCCCTCCTCACAACAGACACCCTGTGAGGTAGGTGGGGCCGAGAGAGCTCTGACAGCTCTTTATCAAGAACAGCTCTTATCAGAACTACGGCTTGCCCAAGGTCATCCAGCCAGGTGCAAGTGGAGGAGTGGGGAATCAAACCCGGTTCACCCAGATTAGAGTTCGCGCACTTAACCACTATATCAAACTGTCGGGAAAGGAGTTTGTAAACTGCTCTGAGACTCCAAGTGAAGGGTGGGGTATAAATCCAATCTCCTCCTCCTCCTCCTTCTGCCTTTAATAGCAGCTTGATTGGCAGATGAAGGTTTGCACAGCATGGAGATAACCAGTGATACAGTTTCCACTTACTGTGGTTTGAAAATTTCCACCTTGTAAATCAAGTTGCTTCTAAAGACACAAGAGGAGGCCAGGTTAGGGGTTGTTGTTGTTTTTCAAGGTCACGTCAATTTTCATAGATGAGCCAAAAACCAGCCTGTAACCAGTAAAGGATTTATGGAACATCCGTTTTCTTTCTTCTCGTTATTAGACTGAAAAAAAGCTCACTTGAGCCTCAAATGCAAAAACATCCTGCATCTTTCACCCTTACATGAGAACCCCAAGGAAGTTTGCCATCCACCTAGAGAAAATGAAACACCCTGTCCCTTTAATAGAGGCTTCAGGGTAATGTTATTTACAAGGTCCGCTGTATCCATTTTCCTGGGCAAGGGATCAGACTCGGATATCTAGGGCCAAACTGGCCCCCCCTGCGGAATCTCAGCCCGTTTCCCTTGTGCCTACCCCTGTTTCTCTTGTGCAGAGGGAAAATGATATTTTTGGTGGATGGTGACAACTCAGGAGGCGAAAGTCAACATTCAGAGATGAGAAGGTCTGGCCCACCAACTCCTGTCCTAAATTCACTAGCATTGCCAAGATTGAGCCTAGTCTAATGTAATGCATTGTACATTGGTCTCCTCTGCACTGTATCTTCACTGAGAGTTGCCCAAAGGCCTTGAGAATAATCACTTATCCTTTAATAGACGCTGAGCAGCAACATGGATTGTAGGCATTCTTTATGTCCACATCATTAAAAAAATCCAGGGGTAGTTTCGTAGAAAAAGAGCTAGGGGAACTCATTAGCATAACTCATTAGCATATGCCACACCCCCTGACATCAGGGGCCCGGCAGTGGACCTGCAAGGCCGGTGGGAGTGCGAGGAAGCCCCGCCCACGCCCTCCCTGGCCCCAGGCAGGCAGGGGTGGGGAGAGGCAGGGAGGAAGCAACTTACCCCCCCTCTTCTCCTGCCTCCTCCTGGCTGAATGAGGGCTGGAAGCAAGCGGCTGGAAGCAGGGGGCGGGGCTTCGTCGTGTGCCCCACCCCCACACCTCACCCGGGGGAACTGCATTCCCCCCGCGATCCCCCCCGAAATGACCTCTGAAAAAATCCTCCTCTTAATGCACATCAGACTGTAAAAGGAGGAGGCCAAGCCATTTCTGGTCAGTCGGAAACCCTGCTTGTTTTGCATTTCTCTTTCAGGGTGCTATAATTGCAATGACCAAAGCCCTGGCCATCGATGAGAGCAAATATGGAGTACGAGTCAACAGGTAAAGGTGGCTGTTATCGATACAGAACCTTCGATATGTAGTGTCCCTTGCAGAATACTTACAGGAAAGAAACACAGATCCTCCATAGCCCAGTGGCAGGATCTTGCAGGCAAAGTTTTTGCTAAAAGAAATGAAAAGGGAGAACATAATAATAACAAGTAACTGCCATTGTAAGAGTCTAATATCCAGCCACGTGTGCTGGGTTACTTTGTCTCGAGAAGGTATAAATGTAAAAAAAAGTCCCCATATTTCTTTTCCCTTTCCAATGTTAATGTTGTTACTTATGAGCACAGAAACACAAAAAAATAGACTAGGCCCAAAATAATATCTTCTAGAATTAAAACTTAGGAAATGAATCCCATTATTTTCAAATCTACTGGAATGATCTGGTTTTCCTTAAGGCCGTGCATTGGAAGTATCTTTAAATATAATAGTGCCCATTAGCATTTGTGATCCCACGAGGGTGGCCAGCTCTAGGTTGGGAAATACTTGGAGATTTTGGGGGTGGAGCCTGGAGAGGGGAGGGACCTCAGTAGGTTCCACCCACCAAAGCTGCCATTTTCTCCAGGGGAACTGATCCTGGTCGTCTGGAGATAAAGTGCAACAGTGGGAGATCTCCAGGTGTCGCATTTGACATTGGCCACCCTAGATACCACCAAAGCACCAAAACCATGGCACCTGCAGGTCAAGAAGGTGGGGGGTGTCTCCATACTAGCGGGTCTCCCCCAGGTGTGCAGGAAAGTACAGCTTTGTCAAGTAACTAGAAGAAAAATAAGAGACTGGGAGTGAAAGCCAGCTTGAAAAAGAACCGAATCTGCTCCAGGAACCCCAGAATGCTAAGAGCAGCTTAGAGTCAGTTAAGGGGGAAAATGGGGCAGGGGGAGAAGACATCAGCCTGCTTAAGTCCTCCCCCTAAGAGCTTACAGAATCCTGGAGCAGGAGATTTGGTGATGGAGATATTACTTTCAAGTTGTACAGCACTCCCCCCCAGTAATTCCTTGCAGGCCCTCTGGTTGTGCCACTAAGCCTCAGGTCCTTTTAAAAATGCTTTTAAAAACGGGTGTTTGCTGCTGCTTTTTCTTGTGCCATGAACAAATGATTCAGTTCTCTGTGATCTGAAATCTTGGCGCCTGCAGTTCATGCTGTATTTTCCTAAAATGTATAAATGAAAAGTCACACCAAAGATTGTGAGGTGAATCAATTTATATAGTGTGTTTAATGCAAAGATCGTCATGCAACTGGAAGTTGATCTCTTTCTAGTGATAATAAGAAAGACACTTCCTCCAAAACTCATTCACTAGGGGACATATTTCTTGATGCTTCATGGTACCCCTGCCCTTTTTAAATATCCAAATATTTTGAATCCTAGCATCTCACCAGGATATATTTCGACTCCTTTGACGGAAAGGGATGCAAATGCGTCACCAAATCCAGAGATGGCAATGCGGAAAATCATCAATAGTGGGGCAAGTATGCTGTGGGGAAACCAGAATTGTGCTGTGACAGATGACTGGTTCTCCTTAAGGTTACTGTTTTCAGGGTGGGTATAACACAATCAATAACTAAAGATATTTGCCAATCTATTCAAATAAATTTATATGTCAACATTAAAGTCTATATGTGTGAATACAAATATATCTCTACTCCATTTCAGAACCAATAGTATTACATGCCAAATGTCTCTTTCTTGTGTAGAAATTCTTCCAAGCACTGTTTGGTAGGTATGAACCTTCAGAGTTGATGGATATGCAGTTCAATGGTAGTTCAAATCCAAATGCTGCAACGTTTCCCTTGAGACCTTTCCAATACGATTCAAGTCTCTCATAAATATAATTCAAAGTCTCCAATCCCATCTAAAGAGCAGCTAGCTGGATCACCTCATTTCCCTCGATGCTTTCTCAAAGTCAGGAAACTGAAGATGAACAAGAACCCTGCAATTCAAGTAAACAATTCCTATATCCATCTCTACTCTAGAAGATTTTAAACTCCAAGCAAACACACATCAAACATGCACAGGGTATGTATTTTGACCGATCAGTAATCTATCTCGGTGAAACGGCTTCCATTCTGAGAGAGTTGGCACGGTCTCACTGCAGCTACCAACTACTAAAGCCATTAATTAGACTCACCTGTGCGAGTTTTAAAGTTACACAGATCGAAGACTCTTTAGAATCATTCATATATATATAGTATGTTTCATATATATATATATATATATATATGAGATACAATACAAGTAACAGATATGGCATCCTGAAATTTATGACAAGGCAAGAAACAACTCAAGAAAACACATTCATGAAGTGCAGCGTTCTTGTTAATCTTCAGTTTCCCGAATTTAAGAAAGCATCAGGGGAAACGGGCTGATCCAGCTAGCTGCTCGTTAGATTGGGTTGGAGACTCTGAGTTATATTTATGAAAGACTTGAATCATATTGGAAAGGTCTCGTGGGAAACGTTGCAGCATTTGGACTTGAACAACCATTGAACTGCATATCCATCAACTTTTCCAAGCACTCTGAACAGTGCTTGGAAGAATTTCAACACAAGAAAGAGAGATTGTGCGTTTAAATAGTATTGGTTCTGGAATGGAGTAGAGATATTTTTGTATTCACACATAAAGCATTTAATACTGACTTATACATTTATTCAAATAGATCAACAAATATTTTAAGTTATTGATTCGTTATCTTCTCACAGGGGCATTTGAATTGGTCATATCATTATTCCATGATTCTCCTTTTGATCCAAACATTTTTGGGGCAGGGTCTGAAGTTCTCCCAGAAGGACAACTCTTCCTTTCACTGTGTTGGAGAACTTCTGGCCAATCTCCAACCTTCCATCCTTGGACAAGGTTCTTGGGAGGGTTGTTGCTACTCAACTCCAGGGGCTCATGGAAGAGGCTGATTTTCTGGACCAATTTCAAACTGGCTTCAGGCCAGGCTTTGGAACAGAGACTGCTTTTATCACACTGGTTGATGACCTCTACTGAGAAACAAACAGGTGGATTGTAACCTTGCTAGTGCTGCTGGATCATTCAGTGGCCTCCAGTGCTATCAGCCATAGTATCCTACTGAGCCGTCTGTCAGCATTGAGACTAAGGGAGCCCATATTATGGTAGTTCTATTCCTAGTCCTGGGGGGGGTTGATCTCGGAAGGCAGTGCTGGGGGTTATCACTCTGTCCCATGGCTGTTGGCCTGTGGGGTTCTGCAGGGTCCGATCATATCCCACATGATGTTTAATATTTAAGTTAAAGTGCTAGGAGAGGCCATCAGGAAGTTTGAGCCGTGGTGTCACCAATATGTGGATGATACCCAGCTCTGCCCTTCAGTCTGGCGTAGTCACTGGCAGCCCCACAATTCTAGAACAACATACTCCCAGGGAGGTGCGCCTGGCCCCCTTGCCATCCTCCCAGGGAGGTGCGCCTGGCCCCCTTGCTTTCAATCTTTAGGATGTAGTAAAAGACAGTTTTATTTATGACCACATTTGAATACAATACTTGCAGTCCTAAATTGAGAATTTTGATTTTGGGGTGGGGTGTTGTTGTTTTTTTGGTATCTTATGTTTTCTTTATTATGTATCTATATATCTAATAGTGAAGGCGCCCCTGTGCATGCAGATATCTAAATCTGCACATTGGGGGCATCTGGGGGGGGCAGGGAAATTTTCCTGCACATTTGGAGCAATCCCCAGATGTGCAGAAAGGGGATACTTAAATTTCCCCCCCAAAAAA